TGAGTCAGTTGTGTATCTTTTACATTACTTCTGCAAGTTCTTCTATCAATGCAAAATGATATTGTTGCTGCCATCAAGTAAAACAGAAGTCAGAAGTAAATTATTTCCTGCACGTCTACTCCTATCATACCAGAGAGCTCAAGTATTTTCTGTGCTGTTATTGACAAAATTAATATGAATAATTTATTAGAAATTATAAGCATCCCAATACACCTGGTAACCTTGATGCTTTGATAAACTTAAACCTTCCACTGAGTCAACATTCAGCCGATGTGAGCTGCTCATTATATAAAAACATTGCTTAGTAATCAGGACTAGTGAAAGTGCCTGAAGTCATTTCATTATTATTTGCAAAAAGGGACTTTCTCAGTGTCACAGCTTGCCTTGACTGAAGGTGTCTAAAATATGTGGCACTCTAAAACACTTTGCAAAAACTTAATCAGATGCATTCCCTGTGCAGCTAAGCAGACCAACAGTGACCACATGAGCTGCCAGGCAGGAGGAAAAGAGGAAGACCACAGAGGAGATTTATGGAAGCAGTGAAGGAAGACATGCAGAGGGGTGGTGTGACAAAGGAGGATGGTAGAGATGGGATGAGCAGAAAGTTAGATGAATAGAAGAGAGAATGACATCACAGTCCAATAAACCCTCAACAAACATGGTTGTGGGAATATGCTTTACTTTCTACAAAATCACCTGACATAAACCCCAATGGGAGCATTAAATACTGAGAAAGTCAAGCATTCATTACATGGCAAGAGGCTATTTGGAACAGCCATGCTGGCAAAACAGTGGTATCCATGGTTTACATGAACTTGTGGTGTCTGTTCAGCTGAGATGTATGGTTTCATATATATGTTTTATATTTTGATAATAAAATTAATATTGTTATTGATTGAGCCTAACAACGCAGTAACTCCAGCAACACGTAAAGCTAAAGAGGAACAACTTTTGTTGCTATTTACTGATTGAGTCACCAGAAAATAAATATGAGCATTCATCTAACTAAAAAAACATTTTTTTAATACATAGGCGAGAAAAAACAGTAATCAGAAAAAGGTGTCTTCTCTAAGTAGCCACATGGTAACAACCCACACTGCTTTGCTTATTTATTCCTCACCTCCCCTTCTTGTCTTATCGTTCTGCTTTGAAAGCTTCATGCATTTTGTTTCACAGGTCACCTCACTCGACGGGCTGAACGCCTCTCGAGTGCAAAACGAGAGGCCATTTCAGAGCACAAATGCTGTTTGATGTTGCCATGCCAAGCAACACAGATCTGTCGGTGAGGGAGTTAAACAAGTAGCATTTGTCTAAGGCGATGTCACTGGGAGAAGCAGAGAAGTGGGTATTAATGTGTGTTTATGCGTCTGTGGGGAGGTGAAAATGTGATGGGAGGGCTGATGTTAAGCTATCAGGGAAGAGGCACTCATCCTCTTAGCTTGAGCAACTGCAACAGGATAAGGGCTACAGGAATGAGCAATGACAGCTAATCATGCACATTTTTTATGTGTGTTCAAAGGCACATTAACTATCCAGTAAGGGATGAAATGTGGCAGCAAGGTTTGTGTGTTATGTGTGTGTGTCTGTGTGTGCAGAGCAGAGAGTGTGCACTTGATGTTCCATGAATAGTAAATAAGAGATAAGATTTTTTTTTCCACTTGCAAGTACACACACACACATGCACATCATATTCCCCTGTTGGGAGCATTGCATTCAGTGGCTGTCAAAGATAAGGCAACTAATTCAAAGTTGAGTCAGAATGGTGGAATAAGTGAATTTTTAAAGAAGGGCTAAGGAGGATCAAGTCCTGAAAACAATAATAATAATAAAAAAATAGTATATCTTTATACATATGTGGAATAAAAATACAAAAATAAGAAAAAGTGAGTTGAAAAGCTCATCTGAAAGCTGGCAGGTGGTTGTACTGCAGGGGACGAAGAGGGAAAAGAGAATGGCAGGAGATGGGGAGAAAAATGACAAGGATGGGAGAAGGACGGAGGGGTTGAGCAGCTCACGCAGCGATGCGTCTGTGATCACTGGAAAAGCACTGTTCCAGAAATATGCCATTTAATTACAGGCAGGACAGGCTGACCTTATAGCGTGTAGTACTTTAACATGGATTCAGACAAATAGGAATGGAGCATGACAGCGGAAACCGACACTAATAAAAGAAATCGGGTAGGCTCATTTTCCCCACCTCACTGTCTGTTTCACAATCCTTGGCTGTGCTAAATTCTTTATTTGTTTTTTCTCTCTACTTGTCTTTTGTCACTCATTCTTAGCAGCAGCTGTACCTGTTTGATATAGATCTTCAACTTCTCTGCAGGTCAAATTGTGTTTCTAATTATTTGCTGACTGACTGACACTACAGGCCAGTTTTAAAACATGTTTTATTAATAAAGTAACTTACTGTGGACCCTGGTCTGTTCCCAGTTGCTGATTTAAGAGTTTTTGAAGTCTCAGTTTCTTATTTATTTTTAGGTACTCTCTGTTTCTTTGCTTTAAGGTTTCTTTTATTCTTAGTATATTGTTGTTTAGTGCTGAGGTTTTATTTTAAATTATTCCTGACCATTATAATGCTTGTTATCTTTTAGCAATAGATACTGTTTACATTCATGAATTTATTAATCCCTGTGTGTCTTTCCTCATTTTAAATGAAACTGGTGTTTCTATAGTGCTTTCCAGTCATTTTAGTAGTACAAGCCTTATTAATGCATTCACATTCATACAACCACTTTTATCTATGGCTAAGAGTTTTAGCCTAACATTCAGATGCTCACACTTTGATGGATGCATCAAGGGCAACTCTGTCTCACTCAGGAACACTTTAACATGTTTTATTTTTATAGTTACTTGTCTCTTCTGTCTTGATTGTCCTCACAAGTGACTCAAGTGACTCACACTTGTGTCTCAGCTGTTTCCACTTCCCTGATTACCCCATCTGTATAAATAGTCCCATCTTCTCCTCAGCCTTTGTCTCACTATCTTATTAGCGCCCTGTGTTAAGTTCTCGTGTGGCCTGAACGATCTTGGATTCTGTATGGGACTTTTGTTTACCAAAGACAGACAGCAGCATTAAAGATTTAAATGCAACTCATGTTAGATAGTTTTACAGTCTAGGGTTAGAGGGCAGAGCAGGGTGATAGTGAACAGAGTTCAGTCTTCTAACATCCTGGTGAATGAAGCTGTTTATCAGTCTAGCAGAGCGAGATGCTCTAGAAATCTTCTTCCCGAAGGCAAGAAGCTGAAAAGGAAGTGTGAAGGGTGGAAGAGATGGGTGTTGAAAATGTCCATGAGGAAGGGCAGGAGGGCACAAATAATCTTGTTGGCTGCACTCACTATGGCTTGCTGGGTCTTCCGGTCAGCCGGTCTTCTGGCAGGAGGTTGTGCAGCCTCGGTTCCACACAGCAGCCAGCGAGGACACTTTCAATGGTGCCCTTGTAGAATGAATACATGATAACAATTGCTAATGACAAAAAACAATTACAAGAGCAGAAAGCTAATCGGGGTATTCCATATGTATTTTTCCAGCAACTAACAAAACTTTAGTCAGCCTTGTTTCCTGTTCTTCTTGGGGAATCCAGAGACACTGCTGGGCCAGATAGATATCACCCCTGAAATTCCAGGTCTACCCTGAGGTCTTCAAGGGAAGTTTCCCTGGAGGAATGCTGATTAGAGACCTGCACCACATCGCATGGCTTCTCTTTGACACAAGGGAGCAGCAGCTCTATATTTCTAAAGCTATTCCCTGCCAGCTTACAGAGGAAATTAATTCATCTAAATGTATCTGCAGTCTAATTCTTTTGGTCACTACCCAAAGCTCATGACCATAAGTAATAAATCAAAGGATTCTCTTTCTTGCTCAGCTCTTTCTTCACCATAAGTCTGCTACACAACCCTCATCACTTGCAGCCCTACACTAACCCACCTGTCCATCTCACAGTCATGACTTCAGATTTGGAGGGAACAATTCTCTTCAATTAAACGAACAAAAAATACAATGAACCTTTCATGTAAGAATTGCTTGCCCAAAAGATTGAACCCCCCTGGAGTCACGGAGCTCAGCCAGGCACAGCTGCAAGAAATATCATTAAGCCACCCATCAGCTACTGCGTACACACAACTGTACACTGAAAATGAATGTGTTTCTTGGCTGTTTCTTGTCTTTGGGGCAAATTAGATAAGACAGCAACATTTTTTATCAGGATTCTTAGAAATAAGAGAAAGGAAGTAGTGACTGATAAGCGAACTATAAAAAAGTGAGATGAGGGGAAAGCGTTTACAGGTAAACCTCATTCATACACTGTGCACAAGAGAAACAAAGAAGTGGATAAAGCTCAGAAGTGATAAACTGCATCACTGTGTTGTTTTGTTTCCCTCTACAATGTAAATGAGCTACCTATATCTTTTCTGTGAAGGTGGCACAGGATTAGAGCATAAAGATAATGTATGATGTGTATTAAAGAAACTCTACCATTGTAAAAAGAGTTTTACACTGGTTGAAAACAAATATCAATAACAGAACTTTGCAGGATTTTGCTCAAGACACTACCTTTTCTTAAAGTCATTCATTTTAATAATATCCTGTCCCTGCATTTAGGATAAAATATTTTTATTTTTACGGTGGGGATGGTGGTGACTTAAACTGCAAAAAGAGGTGTGTAATATTGATCCTATAATTCATATCCACATTTGATGTATGGTTCATGAAAGCACCTTTGAAATCTTTTATATATATGCCTCCCAGTGTTAGATATCAAGCTAATGGTCTGTTGGATCAATGACGGATAATCAATAATCATAGGGACACAATGAGCTTGTGTTTTTTCCCTTCTACTCTACTACAAGAAAGATCTGATGGGGTAATGGAACTCAGAGGGAAAGCACATGCTTGACTCTCAAAGAAGCAACTAAGAGAAACCTGCTTAATGAGACGAAACATTTTGTTACTTCATTTACAAATGAAAAGCACTGATTTATTTCTCCTCTCCTCTTCTCAGGCTTAACCAGTGCAGATACAGTGGTGAATATGCGGAAGGTTACCCATCAGACCATAAGTGAGGAGCTTTCTAAAACAGTTCTGCTCCCTTGCCTCTTCACCCTCCGCCCCAGTGCTGGTTCATTCCATGAGCCGCCCAGAATCAAGTGGACTAAGGTTTGGGGCCAAAGAGGCTCTGATGGCCTGCAAAAGGAACAGTCAGTCCTGGTGGCCAAAGACAATGTGGTCAAGGTACAGTAAACATATTTACCGTTAGTAAATGCTTGACTTACCTGTAATTTAGCTATTTCTCTCAAACATTTTTTTTTTCACTATTTTTCTCACTCTCTGCTCCTCAGGTGAAGAAGGCCTTCCAGGGTCGTGTCACACTGCCTGGTTATAATAAGAACCGCTACAATGCCAGTCTCGCTCTGACTGGGCTGCGCTCTAGCGACTCTGGTCTATATCGGTGTGAGGTAGTGGTGGGCATTAATGATGAGCAGGACACAGTTCCTCTGGAGGTCACAGGTGAATAAAAAACTTTTCTTTCACTGTGATAGTTATTTTAAATTTAAGGTAAAGTTTTCAACATTTCACCTACATTTAAATTACTGCTGGTAAAATATAGTGAATAGTCACACTAACATCACCCGCTCCTCACCCTACCTCTAAGGCAGAAAACTCCAGAAGTGGAAGATTTAGAGCTCGATAACCTCATCCACAAGCTAGTAGGAAGAAAACTAGGCGCCAAGCATTTGGTGGCCAGATCTGTAACCATGATGCTTGGTCAATTACAGTGGGAAGAAATAGCATGAACCCCTGTCTAGCAAAGTCCATGTATCTACCCCATCCTGTGGATGCACCACCTGCAGGGATAGGCATTGATGTTGCGTTCAGTGTGAGCTGGGAGGTAGGCAAAAGTAGGCTCCAGGGTCTTTTTTTGTAAGCAGTTGCAAAATAAATATATCTGCAGTGCTGAATTACAATAAAACAACAGTATAATATTTGTGACTGGATGACTGATTCTGTTTTAAAATTGCTCCAGTTTCATTTCAAAATGATCCCAGTCACGGTCCAGATGATTTTAAAATTATTTAAAAGCTTACACTTCATTATTTAGTAGTGTGTACAATATCTGTGCAACTGATTCAGGATGTAGTATCTGTTATATAAAGAAACAACTTGGAATACAATGCAGTAGCAATTTAAAATTACTGCTAGTTCATCTGGTTAGATGTAGCATCATTAGGAGTGCAGACAGAATTACCAGTAATAAAAAAATCAAGAACTAAACTAATAAAAAGATTCAAAAACTCAAACAGCATATTTGGGGTAATCTTCATTAATTGTTTGTGTTATTATTGTAGTGTTCAGTTATACCACTGCCTCCTCTCATCCTAATCAGAGTTTGTACATGTAACAAACTTAGGACGTGACCAGGTTTTGTTTTAATTTGATGGCTATAAGACGAATTATTAACACTATTTTCAATGTTTTGTAAGAAAAAGAAAAAAGGTAGAAAGCAGGAAGTGTCCTCATAAAAACTGATTATTTCTATTCAGTGTGTGTTGATGTACGCGATTACATTATGTATGCGTTATGAGTGTTTAACCAACACAAAGAACTGTCTCAGCAAATAACTGCCGCACTGGTTGTGTATAGCTCCATTGTAGCTCTCAAGGTCTGCCACTATGAATAATAATGACCCTGTTTCCGTGTCAGGCTAGTACAATCATTACAGCAAGGGTTGTTTACTGTTTATGTAGAATGTATGATGATAGGGAAAAGGTGAAGGAACTCAAACACATTAAACATCATTGACCTGGGCCATTCAGGTGCTGTTCATGCACTGAAAACCTAATGAAGCCAATAAGGTAGAAACCCAGCAGTGCACAGTGTTGTCAAATAGCATTGCACCGAGAGCTCTGTGTGGCTCTAGGTGGCTTAACTAAATAGGCAAACCATTTGTTCTGTCCAGGAAACCGATATTTGTGGAATACCACGCTACTTGGAGGTAGCTCGCTCTAGTGGAACTATTATTACTGTGTCTGGGTGTTTTATCTGCAAAGCTATCATAGGTTTTTGTCGGGTCACTCACTATTTTTAATAATAACCTACTATCATAATGACTGCGGGGAACTGATTGATGCATTAGGCACTGTACACCACGCCACCACTTACTACAAAGCCATGCTACCGCTCACGTAACCAACAGAAGCTGTAAAAGTTCAGAGGACTTTTGGCTCCATTTTCACTCTTCATAGTAATAGAGACTGCACTCAGTTTCTGCACATGGTTCAAATGTGAACACGTGCAAGCTTGTTAATGTCTGTGGTAAATTTGTGTGTGCCTGTTTGTAAAGACCACTATGCCTAATGCCTAATTTCAGTACTTCAACAAGGATGCCATCTGGTTTTGTCAAGTATGAGGAACACCTAATAGGTGCTCATAGAATATTACATTTCATAAGTGAGACCCCTGCCACTATGCTTGGGAGACCCTGTGTCCTCCCATTCTTGGCCAGTTGATTAATACACCATGAAAACCACTCCTTCAGAGAGAAGCCAATTACGTAGCTGGCGAGGAGTAGCCTTCTCCAGGGCTTAGTCTTAATTGGAAGTCACGGTACATGGCAGACCACAGCCGTCCTCTCGCTAATTCTACCAACTGCTCAACATGTTAATTAGCAGGTATTGATACTGCTCAGCTGTATTAATATCATATTAATCCACACCACTCTTCTTATAGAGTAATTTGTGTGTTCCCTGATGTCCTCTTCTGCCATTTGTTGTTTTTGTTTTTTTATTTCTCCCTTGTTCCCTCTGCCTTTCTTCCTCCTTGTTTTGTCTCCATCGTCTTCCTTTCTCCTGGCACATATTGACTGACCAATTGGCTGTGTCTCACCAATTACAACGCAGTGCTATTGATTGTGTTTGTCAGACTTTCTCTGTGGTGACATATGGCAGCTCACTGCTGTAAGAGCAGTGCAAAGTGTATCTGCACTGACTATTGTTAATGTAACCTCTGAATGGAAGGAAACTACTTGAATGGCCAGATCATGTCAGCTATAAGACGACCATCTAGAAAAGCTGATATCAACTCTGCAAGTTTCTGAAAGTTTACTGGAGAGATTGAAGTTGTTTTCTTTTTTCCAAAAGTTTGTTTTTGTTTTGTTTTTTTCTTATTTTGTGGATGATGATTGTAGTGCATCGAACAGCAGTGTCTAACACACTAGTTTAAAATGTCACTGCTTTGAAATGTTTCCTCATATAGCGCTTGTGTAACTTACAGGTCAGCACTGCGACTGTTTAATTTTACTTTATGTTCTGTTGTTTCCTTTGTCACTTTTTCTGCGTTGTCACAAATTACGAATGAAAGTGTGGTTTAGAAATCATACTCTGAACTTAAAATACATCAGTTGCAGAAAGATGATACAACCAAGGGGTGGGAGTAAACTATCTTTAGACTTGTAATGCATTGCTCAGTTTGTTAACTTCATTGTGACACATTCATTATTTACATGTTGTGCCTTTAATCCAATTGCTTGCAGTTCAGACATATGTGTTTAAGTGATATGTAAATATCACTTGGCCCAATGTAGTAGAGTTACTGTTGCTCCTTTCAGAATGGCACAAAATGTTCAAATGCTGTCAGACTAGCTGTTTCTGTATTTGCTGTGTTTATATTGTCAGACTTGAAAGTGGTTCTCTCATCCATGGCCAGAAAGCAAGTAAGTGATTGTATTTTCAAAAAAATTAGCACTTTGAAACAGCTCTTACCGCTCTGTGATTTAAACAAAAAAGGTTGATCATTTATTCAAAATTGCCTCATTGTATTTGTTGGGTTAAATAAAGAAAAATAATTATACATTTTTAAACACTAAAGCACATTGCGCCATATAATAATTCAAGTGTCAAGAGACACCAGCTCCTGATTAGTGTAGCAACGAGGGCATCATATGGTGACTTTCTGTTTTTCCCTTAGGAGACTGTGTGGGGATGTACAAAGATGCATCGTGGTAAAAATAGATGAGATGAGGTATTGTGCATTCCCTGTGGAAAGGCACTGGGTTTCCCATGCTGAGAGGAAACCCATTTATCTCTCTGGTGCATGTGTTAGCCAGCAAGCTACAGTAGCATCTATGTTTGGACAAAACCCCGCAGCCTCAAAAGAGAAGGGATGGAGGCTGAGAAATTAGGAGAAGAGAAAAGAAACAAAACATTTCTTCTGCCCGCAACAGCAGATGCACTGCTGGTGCTGTGGGAACTCTCTCTGTCTACAAATGGCCCTGCTTACTCTCTGCGCTAAAGCCTGGAGTGTTAATGCTCAAATTGTCACAAGGGCCCTACGTCTCACATAGGAATATCTGTCACTCTCCCAGACAATGCCAGCGAAGATAAAGGCGATGTATTAGTTGCCAAACAGCCACTAGCTTTCATGTTGCTGGATGCACATCAGGGGCACAGTGTTGTGTGAAAGGCAACCAGAGGTGTGAACTGAAGGATAAACACTTGAACTTGGATAGACCTTCTGATGCAGTTCTATTCCAGGTTCGATAGAATATACTGTGCACTGATCAGCTGCAGATTTGCAAGTGAAAAAAACCGGGGGGGGGGGAGTTGTCATGTCTTTCTACTTCAAAATTTTTAACCAAGCTTTTCATATTCTCCGCCTATTTTTCTTTTCACTTTGGTTTAATACACGCATGGTTTTCCTTTTCTTTTGTCTGTCTTCTTTGTCATTCCATCACGGGTTCAGAGGCAGGCGGCGTGCAGCAGGGTGACACTGTGTTTGTACTGTTAAATCAGTCAAATAAACATCACCACTGTTTGTCAATCTCTGTATCCAAGGGCAACATCTCTTTTCTCAAATAAGCCAACCGACTATCCGATGCAAATGAGACTCACGTACACAGGTTCCTGAATCTGAATCCTGTAGTTTCATATCACACAGATGGAACAATGTCAACACCTGATGAGGATGTCAAGGGGGCTTTGTGCACATATGCCTGTGAGCATGTACATGCTCATGTTTCGATGGTGCAAGGTTATAGTTCATAAATACTTTGGTGAATTGAAGGTTGCATGTTATGTATTCGTGTTTTTTGAGCTTCCTCTTTATTTCTTATCACAATTTCTTTGCTCCAGGTGTTGTATTCCACTACCGGGCCCCTCATGACCGCTATGCCCTGACCTTTGCTGATGCCAAGAGGGTGTGCATGGAGAACTCAGCGGCCATCGCAACACCTGGTCAGCTGCAGGCTACCTTTGCTGATGGCTATGACAACTGTGACGCTGGCTGGCTTTCTGACCAGACTGTACGGTGAGGCTTTTCAAGCTGGGTACAAGAGCTATTTGGGTTTTGTTGGAATAAAATTCAAGAATACATTATTCAATATGACTAGTTAATATACTGGCTGAATTACTACATTCTAGAAACTGTATATAAACAATGTAAATAGCTTCCAGGTCTTAAAAAAATTTATCCAGTTTTGAAGTGCATTAATTCTGCTTTCTTTCTCCTCTGTCATTACTTTCTTATGATGTGATGGCCCAAATCACTGGTTTCAAGTTATTTATTCACAATGTCCGTTTTTTAAAATTCTGGCCCAACGTAGAATGGCCTGGCTAACCGCCCACCTCACTTCTGCTAAATTTAGATGTTTTTTGCTTCTATCATTAATTACCCTTTTATTTACCCCCAAATCACTCAAATCCACTCCCCACTCATGGAGTCTGCTTTAAATAACACAAGATGTTCATAGCCAGTTCACAAACCCAAGTGACTCCTCAGTCTTTTTGTGGAATCTGTGCAACAAACCCCCATTAAATAAAGGGTATCATCAGCAAATCCAGAAGAAAAATTGTGAAAAAAAGACATATTTTCCCTCTGGCTAGAAATGACAACAAATAAGCTGTGTGACTCTGAAGTCTTGTTCTGTATGTCTGTAAATTTTCTCCCCAACAAACACAACAATGTTGACAAAACGTCATCACCTGCAGGTGTCTTTGGTTTCATTCTACAATACTGGACTTATTTTTCTACAAGGTTTGAACTTTGAGTGTTAAACAAGAGAGAAAAGTGTGAAATGTTCATGCCTCTCTGAGAAAAGTGTATAAAGTGTGTAGTGAGGGCTTTTACAGCCTTAAAACATCTATAATAATTGGCTAATTTGCAGATTTCACCTATCGCGGGTTATTTTTAGAACGTAACTCCCGCGAAAAACAAGGGACCACTGTAATGGGAAATGGCATGGGTTCATGCATAGTTTCATAACATGTGTAAGAATTGGCACCCTCAATTTATTTGAATTGTTTTCTGCTAATCCAATTGAGAAAACCTGGGGTAAATTTTAAAAGGTCATTAATGATAGCTGAAATGAAAAAACAGTGGTGAGCAGTTAGGCAGGATGCTATGGGATAATGATCTAATAGTGCCAAAAATCACAATCACTTTCTGTAAGCTCTGTCTTTTCACTTTCATAAGGCTTTGTCTGAAGTTCATCTATGTCACTTGATTGGTGCTTTTCATTGGCTGTGACTTAAGAACGCACATGAGTCATTTAAAAAATCCCAACAACATTTGACTGAAGGTATTTTTGGGGATGACTGGAAGAGGTCTTCAAAACATCCATTACTTTGGTGATTTTGTATGGTGGAAATTGACCTTGTAACATGCTTTGAATGCTTTGCTTGATCCTTTTTGAATCCTTATTTATGTGGTTTAAAGATATATGCACAAAATTACTTTCAGCAAGCCCAACCCCATTGGTTGGGATTGCTATGCTCGAGGTGTAGTCATGAGGTTCGGTGAAAAATATCAGTCAGTGTGCCAAATTTCAAGTTTTAGAGAATCTGTGAGGAAACTGTCTTCGGTTACAGGCAACACATTATTTATCCTATAGACACTGACTGACTCATAGATTGCAGCTGAACTTGACTTTTCAATAAGTTATCTATCTAGTTCTCATACTAACACGGTTTGCTGAAGAGAGTTATCGTATAAAACCTCTTTCAAGCAGTAGATAAGACTAATATTTGTGATTGCTTTCCTCACTATCAAACATTATAACAAAAGACAATCTCTAAATAATACGTCTACAAAAGCACAAGTTAATGAACTATCTATAAGTATAAAGTATCAAAGTTTGAAAGTGATATTTTGGGGGTTTTCATAGACTTGATACTGTGCAACATAATTGGACCTAATAGCTTGTTTGTACACTGGAAAGGCAGTTTAACTACATCAGCCCCCTCTGAGCTGCCTGTCAGCCATGTACTTCAGCTTGCCACTTTCTGTTAAATCCCTTTTTACATTACCAGTCAGAGCCTGCCTCTCCACATTGTTTTCCATATCAGCATTTTAATTTCAAATTGCTGTTGCTCCACTTGGCAAGCACACTGACTGTTGTCTGCCTGACAGTTTTTCACAGACTTCCTGCGGCACGACTTCCTTGCCTTTTTCTTTCTCGCCTTCCATCCCGCACTCCTGTTGTTTTCACTCGGGAGCTACCTAATTGGTCCAGATCCAGGAGGCTCTGACTGCACATCAGCCAGGAGGAAAGTGTCCAATTAATACTTGGTGAAAAAATATAGACATCAACCGCCATTTCATCAGACACCAAGCAAAAAGAAAGTAGCTGCGGCCTGAGACACTAAAAGATTTTGTTCTCTTCTTATATCACAAGCATGTCTGTCTTCTTCATGTATATTTGATTGCGCATCTTTTCCAAGTGCTTCATAAAGTCCCTGTATGCCCAGCATAATCTTTTAATCAGCCTCTTTGTTTGCGCTGTGGTGCTGCAGGAAACAATGTTCTTGTGGAATAATTGCTCAGTTGGAGCCTAAATATAGATTGTTGATGTTGTTTTTTTCTTTTTAGCCCCACAGGCATGCCAAGCCACCACACAAATTCCTGATTCTTTTAACCTCTTCTTGACTTTCTATCTGTCTTTCTTTCTCTTTCTAAAAGCTCGAGCATTGACAGTCTTATACTGCTAGAGCACTAAATGCATTTTCAAATGATTTAAAATGAAACGATTTGGTTGTGAAACTCACACCGAGGGCAGAACAATTAAAACAAACAAGATAGTGTATCCATTGAAGTGCTTGCCAATTATTTTCCTGCGGTTGTTGTCGCATATTGTGAATGTTACTATATTTCTTGCTTCCAACCAGATTCAAGAGAGGACATCCCCGTCTTTATTTTTCATTACTATTTGGGAAATATATTTTGGTCAACTCTGAGAGGAAGATATGTTTAAACTTATTGTATTTCAGGGCAGGCAATGATAAAAGTGTACCTTTTATCTTATTTTTTATGCCTGTGAACACAGACTCATCCCAGGGGAGCCAAGTCTCTGGCTGCTTTTTTTTTAATGGCCAGGCTATATTAATCTCACTCTCCTTTCTTCTCTCACTCTCTCTGTCATTGTCCCTATCTCTTGGGTTCCTCTGCAGGTATCCCATCCAGTCACCACGGCCAGGTTGCTATGGGGATTGTGAGGACTCACCTGGAGTTCGTAACTACGGCAATAGGTCCCCTGATGAGCTGTTTGATGTCTACTGTTTTGCTAAGCGTCTTCAAGGTAGGAGTCAGGAGCTTCTACCATAAATTTGAGTTTAGTCATGCATGGGTCCACTAAGCCGAGGGTTCGCAGTGCCAGAAGGCTGTGACCAGGCCTTAATACTCTGTTAGCACAGTGTAGAGAAGAGCAGTGGGAGAGGAAAGGGAGGAGAGTTTGTTCAACTGAGGGAGATGCAGAGGCCTGAAGGCAGAAGCTAAGTGGGTCACTAGTGTTATCATAAAAGTTTGCTCTGATTTGGAGCGCCACAAGAAGAGGTGGCACTGGGCACATCTTATGTGTCCAAAATCTTATTTACCCCATCCCCAATTGCTGCATGTTGTAAACTCAATAGCTTACACAATAAAACTGGGAAATCTATAGATTTGGTGTCATGCTTATTCCATTTTTATCATTTTAATCTTTATTGTGAGATTTTTACAAGGATGTAATAAAGATGTCATGGACTGTGTGTCAAAGATCGGCTGTGTGGGAGTCGAAGGTGGACAGCAATAGACAAAGCAAAACAACCTTAATCCTGTCTTGCAAAATGTAAACAACGCCTAAAAACAGGGCCATAAAATACAAATAAAAGACAACAAGGAACAAAGGAACGCAAAGCAATGAGGGACGACGTGGCAAACAACAAGGCGACTCAGACGACATATACTCACATGATAACAAGGTGGAGAAGTAACGGGTGAGAACACAGCTGAGGATAACTTAACATAATGACTCAGAAGGAATAAAAAAATAAAAATGGGAACAAAACAGAGACTAAACAAGCCATGAAAACACAAGGGAGGCAGGAACACACAGGAACTCAGTGACTTAAATACCCAACTTGAAGTAAAAGTATAAACAGAAAATATAAATATAAAGAAACCGACCAGGAAATGCTATTACAAGAAAAATGTCAAAACAAATGATTCTCAAAGCCAAAAGAATAATATTTTACAGAAAACTCAGAACCCTGACAGCACACTTATAACTGCAAAAAGGTAGAGGAAAGCTCTCTTTACACATTAGAGACCTAATATAGATTTACTTTGCAAGTTAGGGGGCATATCCTGATTTCATAAAGTGTTGCTCCACCTTTAAGTTGTTCTCCAAGTTGGCTGACTTTTTGCCTATAGCCTAAATCTGTTAGCGTCACATCATATAAAATATCTAACAATTGAATGCATGTTTGAAGCATTTTTACAGAGTATTCTGTTCAATGCCAGTTAGCTGGAAGCATTGCAAGACGGATGGAGACAGAGTTGGTTTTCATACATCAAAATCAATGGTTGTTGGCTAGAAATTGGAGGCCTGCTTTGGTTTTCTCTCACAAATGTCCATAAATCTTGAATGATAGATCTGACAACTATGTCAGTGTTTACTGCATCACCTCAAAGCCTGACGATTATAGCAAGAGTAGCTGGTAGGCTGCACCTTATAAAGCTGCTACTGTGCAAAATGAAAGTCCTCCAAATCTACAAGAACTTCAAACCATTTTTAAGGATTAGAGAAGAAAGATGGCCACATGATCAAGCTATTTAAACATTATTTAAAGAAAACATTTGTACTTACATCTTGAAATCAAATATTGCAGTGATGAAACATTTTCTGTCATTGTCTGACTTTTTCTTTTTGACTGAATGACAGAAAAATCAGATGGCCGTCCATCATTTTTGACAGATTAGAAGAATGGCCTGTATTTGTATAGCAAATAATTCATATGCAATAGTGACAAGAACAGTGCTCACAGCATTGGTGACTTCTCTTTTTCTAAACATAACATCAAACATTATACAGAAATATCCTCCCTCAATTTCTTTGGGTGCATCTGTGACCACTGCAGGTCATAGATGGATTCTGTTGCACCCTGATACAGAAGAAACACATGTGGTCTCATGTAAAAACAGTATTGCTGACCTCTGATCGCCTCCCTGGGGGCAGCGTTTCTAGACTCGTCCATCCCACCCATCCATTCTCTTCAGCTATAATAGAGCAAGAGGCGGGGTGCACCCTGGACAGGCTGCCAATCTTCAATATATGAGGTTATGATGAGGCTTATTATATGATTACTGACAGTGGCCCCATCAGTTATCTTACTTTATCAAGTGAGCATCCTGTTTTCCTCACATTTGGTTGTTTAATAACAATGGTTGGAGTATTTTAGTGTCACTTTGAGTAAAAACTTATGTGCTTCTTGTGGTGTTGACATGAGGAGTGATCCCAAGGTCAGTGAAACTGTCTGTCCTTTCCTGATAAATGCATGTTCTCTACTCTGTATTAAACAGTGACTGAGTTGTTTCTTTATTATCTTTTTATTGAATATATTTCTTTATCAGGATAAATTAAAATTAAAATGACTGGTAATAATAGATTATGATGGACACTTTATGACCCTGTCTGTCACAATGACAGATGATGCAACCTCAGCTTGAAAGACATCAAGTCAGCCAGTGACCTTTATGATGCTTATTCCTCTTAAAGAGTCATTGATGTGCTTTGAGATTTGCCTTCTTTCTTCTATGGATATAAATCAATTAAACTAGTTGATAAGTTTTATTGTTTTTAGGTCAAATTAACAAACATATCTAACATTTTGCTCCTCCCGTTTGATTTAATTGGTGACTGAAGCCTCTCCACTCCTTACTTATCTTAGATAGATGACAGCTGTGCAAGTGTGCTCAGGCATCACAAGTTCACTACCGCTCATACTACATGACAAGCTCTATGAGTGCAATTTACCGTACGTCCAGTGTATCCTTTGTGTAACGCAGTATATTTAAGCTGTCAGAGCTCTGATTGCTCTCTTGTTGCCACACTGCTATGAAAGCCCTTCTTTCAAGTGTTAGTGCTGTTTTTAGAGAATATTAGATCACCTACAAAAATCCAACTGTAGATTGTAAGTATGTGTTCCTCAAGGGGGAAAGTGATTATCATCTCTCTCTCCTCCCTGCTGTGCTGAGCGTGGTGTTTCCTCTAGGGGAATGATGGGCTCAATGCTGAAATGGCAAATATTAACACTGCATATATTCGTCATTCACACCATAATCACGTCTATGCCTGACTGAAATTAAGTGTTTGTCATACTTTAACCTCGTGCAAATTCCAAAGCCCAATTATAATAACCGGCATCCGTTTTTCTAATAATTTTAACACCGCATTCTGACCTGCAACAGGGGTTACTTTATCTAGGTCTCTCAGTATGAGGTGTGCAACTGTCATTAAGCATCATAGTAGTAAGAAAGCCATTCCACTATTTAAAGACAATATTAACACCTAGTATGGGACTGATGTGCTGAGAAGAGAAAATTGTACGACCATCTCTAGACTTTATATCCTGCAGTTAAGAATATTGTTCAGTGGAATTAACAACCTGATTGAAGTAATCAGCAAATAATTGTCTGCAGTCAAAGCAAAATTCCTGGGTGATACATAGCTGGTGTTTCATTCATTAATAAGAAAACAACAAAAACTAAAAGATGAATTAATAAACTCAGCAACAGACCTTTCTCTACATGTACAAAAGCTTAGCTGGGATTGATTTGCACAAAAAAATGACAGTATATAGATCTTTCGCTGATTTGTCAATCTTTTCTAATTTAATCTGCAATCTATAAAAATTAGCACATTTTCAGCACCTTTTAAATGCCTATTTAAGCATCTTCTATAATAGTTCTGACAAATAACACCTCATATATCCCCTTTCTGGCTCTTTCCCATTTTATTTTTCTTGGATCTTGACCTTTTTAACTGTTCAGAAAAACTGAAGTGACATTCTTCTTTCTTGACATAAATCTCCTAGATCCTCGTATCTAATGTGTTCTTCTGTTTTCTGCTCCTCATTCTTACTGTCCAACCCTCCAGCTTATATATTTTTCATCACCACACCCTGAGCTGCCAGCGATCATATAAATGCATTTGTGCTATGTTCTTCTTGAGCACTCTCTGTCTTGCCTGTTTTTGAATTTCTTCTTTATCAGCATCAACAGCACCATTCTTCAGCCTCTTTTTTCTTCTTTTCTTTTATTCGCTGTCTGTGTACTTAGATCTTCTTTTTTTAAATGTCTTTGATTTCAAACAATTTCCTTTAGTCAATACTTTGAATTACTGATTTCCTTTTATTATTGCAGGCAACAATAAATGCCTTCTGCTTCCTCACTTCTAGTCTACACCTCTTACTTTTTTTACAGTTCACAAAGGAGAAAGAGAAAATGTCTAGAACTGATTGCCGTTATAGCACGTTAAAAGAAAATACTAATACGGTTCAACCAAGAAGAGACAGACACAAACTCAAATTCACTTAACATCAGTTTGCAATACCAATACCAAATGATCCAAGAATCAACCAGCACTCAAAATCCTGCAACTGCCAACCAACAAAACAAAAATTTTCTCGAGGCTGAAGTGCTTTTGCTCTGTAATACAACTCAATGCTTCTTTTTACACCTTCCAGGTGAGGTTTTTCACTCCACAGTGCCAGAGAAGCTGAGCCTTGCCACCGCCTCCACTCACTGCCATTCCTTGGGAGCCCAGCTGGCTACTGTTGGGCAGCTCTTCCTCGCCTGGCAGGCTGGTCTTGACCAGTGTGATCCCGGGTGGCTCGCTGATGGCAGCGTTCGCTATCCCATCAACGTCCCGCGGAAGAACTGCGGTGGAGACGAGCCTGGGGTACGGACTGTCTACAACAACCCGAACCGGACTGGGTTTCCTGACACCGCAGCTCTGTTTGATGCCTACTGCTACCGAGGTACTAAGCCTTCTGCGATAATGAAGGTGATGCAGTTACATTGTGGTAATTGCCATGGTAACGAGCGTTGTATCTGGGGAATTGTTTCCCCTTCTGATTTTTAATTAACATGAGATGTTGGTGTCACACATGAAGGAGTTGTGAAGAGACTGCGACATTTGTTTCCCCTCAATGGATATCAGGGCTTGTATGTTGTGGGTTTCTGCGCTTGCAAGACAGAATGGAAATGTGGATCAAATAAGAGTGAGAGCATGACTAAAGCAAGTCTAGCTGGGGTCTGCAGTGACTGTGTCTGGCCTTGTCCTCTTATCTGCTGACACACGAATGAGTTGGGCTCATCTTCAAACCGAATGAACTATTTTGTTCACTGTTTGTAGCCAACTTCTTCCACCAACACACACAGAATAAGAACTGATATTATGAGAAGACTACAAATTAATATTTAGGTGGGAAAAAAGAAAGAATGACAATTTCATCTTTCACATTGTCAGCCCATGAAAATGTAACTGAAGTGAAACATCTGCATAACCCAGTAATTTTAAAGTAAACAAGAACAGCGTGAGAGCGGAGCAGCAGTGAATCTGTCAAAACAAACAGCTGACAGATGAACCTCTTCATAGCACCAACAATGCTGAACGCAGATTTACAAGAATAATGTCTTTCAGATAGCTAAAAGTAGATAAAAATGGTAATGGATTTTGTTTATTATCATAGATATGGTTTGTGTGAATAATATTGTGGATACAGTCACATTTGTATATTTGCTGATTTCAAATGGTTGTAATTTTTTGTAGAAAAACAGATCTACTTGTGATATCTATAACACATGTGTGTCCTACTCTGGATTTAATCTTCTTAAAAATAAGGAATGTGAGGTTTTGGGCTGTGTTGTAACGTAGAAGACAAAACAAGTCAATTGATGTTTGATTGTGTGTTTCAGCCCACCAGCCAGCAGGGGTGCAGGCTGCGGAGCCACAGCCTTTGTATCAGACACCTCACCTGGCAGCAGAGGCCATGTCCTTATTAACCGAAGCCCAGGATAGTGCCTCTATTCCTAAGACTTCCACCTGGACTGGCCTTGTTGACTTAGATGAAGTACGAGTCCCGTCCATTGCTGGAATCAACAACTCATCTGAGATCTCCGAAGAGCATGTGATCACCCACTTAAGGCCTGAGGAGGGTTGGGATGAAACTCGGGATGGACCTGGAACGCCAGAACCCAGCCAGAATGAGTCACACAGCTTAAATAACAGCAAGACTCTGGGCGTTTCTGACCTTGAAACCTTCGAGAAGCATGGAGGCTCTGCCCATGAGGAAGAAGATGGAAGCTACTTTGGATCTGAGACCCCAACATTATCCTCAATTTCTACTTCCACGCCCCAAGTTCAAACCAGTAATAGTATTCTGACTGACTTTGTTAACACTCTTATGAGGCCTTTTAGATACTGGACTCAGAGTGAGGAAGGCGATGATACAGAGAAAACACCCATGGTGCCAGACGAAAAGACAACAAATAACCAAACACAGGGGGAAGCGCCCAGCAGGAACCCAAGTTTTCCAAAACCCAGTGGGAAAAAGGGCAGCATAGATAATGCCATTATGGAGCACAGAAGTGGCACTTTTTCTTTCAGGAGTCCGGTGACTGAGCTGCAGAACTCAGAAGAAGGTCTTTCCAGTGAGGAGAAAGAGGTGATGCCATTGATTCAGTTAGTACCTGCAGTCCAAAGCACAGAGGCAAGTGGTACGAGCAGCCCTCCGGGAGAGAGAACAACGAGCCCCATCGCTGACCACACTCAATCTGCTGTTAAAGGTATGCGTTCAGCTTTTAATTTGTATGTATATTTCTATCTACAATTCAACTTTACCCTTTAAAACAAATAACTACACGTGAAATTGAAACAGAAATGAGCCTAAATTGAAGCTGTTTTGTTTCAAATGGAGGCGGGGTGCATTTGAATATCTCTGGTAAATATAGAATCTGTTTGTGTCATGCCTTTTAAATAGTCTCTGCCTCTCCATTCCACTCTATCTTCTTTCCCCTCGAGTATGCCATAATATATTCCTCCGCAGGGCAATTTGAAGTATCGCTGTAAATTTAATTAAACAGTAATTGCAAACAAACAAAGGGGGCACAGCACATACAGTAATGCAGGGTGTTGGAGTGTTCTGCCTTCATTCTCATATTTATTCAAAAAGCGCTTTGTTTACATTGCAGGCTGTAAGAGTAACAGCTATGCTTACTTTTTTAAACCTATTTGAATGTGATGAAATGTTTTTTTTTTTGTCTTTTGTCTTTTTGTTTAAAAGAGGACAACTTACAGCCTGGTTTTTTTTTAGGAAATGGAGCTATATTAGACTATATTAGTGGGAATACCTGTGGCTAATATTATAATATAGAATAATATAGAAACATTTCAAAATCCATCTTTCATAGTGATTAACATGGATACAAAAAAAAATCCAAACATACAAGTCCTAAAATCCTGAGATTTAAAGGAAGACATGAGAATCTGGAGTGCAAAGTCTGATATATAATACTGTGCTAAAGTCTTGAGCCCCTCATTTCTTTTTGCTTTGATTCCAAGGAGCCAGATTTTCTTGTGATTGTTTTAAAGTGGCGTTGGGCTATAGTTCTCTCAGCTGTCTGAAGGTCTTTCAAAGTTTGTCTTTGATCATTGGCCGCTCTTTCACACATTTTCCATCCAGTCCCTGTATGTGGCCATGTTGAATGGAATACCTCTTTGCTTGTTAAGCCACCTAAGACTGACCTTCGAATCCTTCAAGCATAAAAAGGGGCACCTAACTCAAGGGACGAGCCAGCGTTGTGACAGACAGCTTAGCAAAGAAAATTTTTAAACTGTTTCTTTAGCTAGCCTTATACTAGCAGCCTGTTGTAAAAGCACGTTATTTGTTGCTATTTCTTCTGTTGAATCTACAGAAATGCCAAAAATAACACAGTTTGATCGGCATAAAATAGTGTTTGTGGTACAATAAAGTAATTTTCAAAGAGTTATTAGCCAAAAACAGGCATTTTTTAGCATAGTTTGCTGTGTGTCCTTAAAGGTTTTGAGGAAACAGGACAAACAGAGGACAAAAGAAGAAATGGCAGGTCTAAAAAAAACTATCTGCAGCAGAAGAGCAGTATCCAGCAAAGACCTGACAGAGGACTTGAGAGAAGCAGCTGGCCCTTCAGTTGATTCATCATCCATTCACTGAAGCCTTGTCAGAAATGGTCTCAATGGAAGTGTAGCTGTCAAGGAGCCATTCTCGGATAGACAACAGCAAGAAAAGCCTGACAACTGCCAAATTACACAAGAGCTGGGCTGAAAATCAATGGCAACAGGTCTGATGGAGTGATGGCTCTAAATGTGAAATTTCTGGTTGAAACCGTGATCAACAAGTGTGGAGCAATTCAGAAGAGAGGCACAACAGTTAGTGTCTACAGCCATCTGTAAGACATGGTGGAGGCTCTGTCATGGTTTGGGGCCACATTTTAGCGAGTGGTGTTGAAAAAAACTTGTCAAAATTGATGGAATTATGAATGCAGAGAAGTACCATCAGATTTTGATCCACCATACAATACCATCTTTAAAGTATTTGATTAGTAAATAAGTTAATTGATTAGGTCAGTGCATACAAGCATACCTGGATGGAAAAAACACAATGGAACACTATCAGTCATGGATTGGCCTCCCCAGAGCAACACTCCCGAAGCAACGTTGCCTCATCTTGACAAAGAAAAGAACAAAAAGGTAGCCAACATCCAAAGAAGAGCTTTGAGTGTCCTTCAGGAAGAATGGAGAACTATTCCTGAAGAATAGTAAAAGGAATTACAAGAAAGCTGTCTAAGAGAGTTCAGGCTGTGTTAAAAAAAATAAATATGGTGTTACCAAATACTGACTTTAAAGCTCATCAAAATTGTACACATCAACTGTTTTGCCTTATATAGTGTATTCTACTATAATACTAAATTAGAGCACATCAGAAAGAGGTAAACAAGCAAGGCTAAAAAGAAAGTGTACTACAACCTTGGGTTGATGGAAGCAGGAAGCTTTTCTTTAATGGCTGCCACAAATAACACATCCATGGCGCCAGCTAAATAGGAAAGATCCAAAGTAAGACAAACATTCACACCAGCAGCCAAAAGAATGATTCAATAAAGGTGCAAGGCTTTTCTCACCTAGCGATTGCTGGCTTTATTAATATAAATACTCACTGCTGTGCTACCTGAAATCCCATAGCAACCCAATCCCAAGGTATTAATGAAAATCCATCCTTTAGTCCGCATGCATTATTCACAACCTTATCCAATTAACATGGAGGCTGGGCTGCAATGCCGTTCACTCTAACCACCATCCATGTCTCTGCCAATTAGGCCCCAGCTCTTTGAAGGTAGGCAGTAATGATCACTACAGTGTGGGTGAGCAACACACGAGGAGCGTGAGTATAGGAGGGAAGAAGCAAACAAAGGGAAAGATGGAGGAAGGACTGTGAGGTGTAGTTTTTTTTTTCTTTAATGTTGCTGTGATGGAAAACTGCCCAGCTGATGTCTAGTAGAACCAATGAGCTAAATTAGCTGTTGTTGTGCATCAAGGGCTCAACACTTGATAGCGATTAACATTGCTGTTTTGTCTCTTTGATTGAGGGGAGGAAAACATTTGTTAAGATGGGAATTTATATAATGATCACATTTATTTCAGATGCTTAAAAATTCTTTGCATCAAGAGCATTCAGTTAAATTATTTGCCAAGAAAATATGAGTATTTTGAACATTTTAATAAACTGAAACAGCATGTTAACAAATTATATTCAGGTCAAGAATCACAGCTGAGGAAATATTTGCCAGCTTCATACCAGTCTCAGAAGACAGTGAGGTCTTCACACTGACACTCAGTGTGGCTGCTCCTGACATGATTCACCTGGCCATGCAATAACTTTGCCTCAGTCTTTTTTTATTAGATGCCATATCTGTAGATGGAATGAGCTGGCATTAGTACCATCTTCTGTCTCGCGCGCCTTCTCTTTCTATCATTGTCAGTCTCCTCGCTCGCAATTTAATATCATGTCTGCCTGACCTGCAGGGATTCTTTCAGCCCGTTTACTCCACTAAAGTGGAGTCAACACAGCAGAACCACTCAGTGGAAGCACACAATTACTGTCTGAATGAGGTTCATTATAAGTTTATTTTGCAGCATTTTTGCTCTGAGTTCTGGCCATTTCCACCAAGCCCTCCACCAGCAGATTTACAGCAGCTGAGCTGAACTCTAACCATGCTCTAAATAGCGCCATGAAATCACCCAAACCTATGCCTAATTGTCTCATTTTATTTATTACATGGTTCATTACATAGATGATCAAACCAGATTAATGTGTTTAATTATTCTCACTTCCATCAGTGTGTGTAGTAAAAGTATGTAATTAGCTATTTGGATTATTAATAGGACAATTACACCAGGCTACATGGCTCTTATGGAAATGAACCTCAGGCTCGTAAACCTCACTTAGGCATACGGCAACAGCGAACCTTCTGAATAATTTACATACACTTTAATATTTTATGCATAGACATATTTGTGCATGTTGTCCATCTTGAGGTAATTTGTTGTGCTGTATTGCTATACTTTTCTGACACGTTAACCGAACTGAGGGTAGCCAAACTGGGCTGAATGATTATAAAGGTGGGATCACTAACTAGACCTCTCAGTAATGTGACTGCACCACTCTCCTAAAAAAAATCCCCACGAACATCATCCATGAGTTACACATGCAGACAGAATGAATTATTGATGGTGTAGACAGAGTCTGGTTTAAAGCTGTAAGCTGATAACATACAGTGGAACATTTCATCTAAATAAACAGATCGAGATGGAGCTTGTTGTGGAGCCAGTCATTTGCTTATCGTGCTGCAAGTGCATCTGCATTTTTCCACATGGCTTCTCTCACTACAGGCAACTGTATACCAGCAGGAACTTGTTTTAGGTAAAAGAATCCACAGGGAGTGGAGAAACAGGGACAGAGAAGTGTGAAATTACATTTGAATACATCCTCCCATCCTTTTGGTGTGAGTTTATTCGTGGGCATGTGTGCATATACTCCAGAAGAGGAGGTTCCCATTTTTGTCTACAAACTCCAGCAACTTTAATACCCACACTGATCAGCTCCAGTGGTGCAGAAAAATATCCAAAACATCCAGCTTACAGTAAATGGCAGTTAACTGCTTCTTTTAGTTTGCCAAAATTATCATTTGACTACAGCTTCAAGGAACACACAGAAGAAAAAATTGAACCTACATCTCAGGTACATTGCGTCCGTAGTAAACGTGTAAAAGCACAGTTAAGATTTTAAAGACATTTTAATACACTTTAAGTTGTTGCAGCAGTGCATAAAAATGTAGAAAATGTAGTTTTATGGAAATAATAGAAAAAGATGGCACGGCTAAACTACAATTGTTCTCTGCAGGTGATTGTGTTACAAACCAAGACTAAGAAGAGTAAATTCTACTCGAGAATGCAGCTTTGAGGGAAATGGGCTCCATAGGCAATAAACACATCTGAGAGAACTCTAGATTGTTTACTTTGTTTGTTCTTGGTTGATATAATTCATTCTGAAATAATGTGTTTAAATTATTAACAGCTTTAGTTTATTACATGATAAATATGATGAACAAAAACTGTACTTTCCAAGCTCAATTGGAAAGCACAGTGTTGGATATTTCTGTGCTCCGGTCAAGCACGAGGAACATTTTGCTGTTCTTTTTTTTTTGCATCCTGATAGATAAGTGTGAATGAAATCAGTTTGAAACCATAGCCACTCAGCCTGATTGGTCAAGTAACCAAGAATTATTCTTTGTTTATTTAACTTCTTATTAAAAAAAACAAAAAAAACAGGGATATTACTGATGGAGATTATGGAATTGTTGCTTGTGTAATCAGGAATCAAATGGTGAAGAAAGGCATAAAAGGAATGACTTCATGGCATTTCAATCTACATTGTTTCATGGTGAACTCCCTCTTCATTATTTACATGCATTTTCACACACTTGATTATTTTTACACATTTGGACCTGATTATTTGAGTGTTTCTCTCACGAAGACTTAGCTAAGACTGGTTGGCTGTGCAAGCCCTTTCTGACTTCTGTTCCCCTACTGGCAGGCTGACAGCCACTGTATCTAAAATCCTCCATTGGATAGATTCCAACTCCACTGTCTTGTGTTGCATCTAATGATGCTATTCTTTGCTTTTAAAGTTCACTGTTGGTCTCTAACCAAACGCTGTGCAGTGCAGAACAAGGACCACTGTTCTTAACTGCTCTCCAAGGGCACGAGGTTGCTCATGGCTCTGTGGTTTATTTGCCGTAAAGTAGAGCAACTTTTATTTGCAGAGTTGCATCGTTTATGTCGTGTTATTTATTCGTTCTTGATCAGTGAGTGGGTGAGTGGTTGCACAAACCAGTGAACCTACCTCATTCTTCAATATCCACCCTTTCCATTACCGCAAATTGAATCCAATTCGAGTTCGGTTGGGAAAAAAGCAGAATTCTATTATTTCATAACTGCGTACAATGTGTGTGCAGGAATAAAGGAAATATGCAAATACTATGAATGAAATCAGATACAGTTAACACACAGCATTTCCAGCTCAGAGCACTGGCCACAGCAAATCTGTGTTCTTGCTGTTATCATTCATTTTTTAACTATGTTCCCTGAACAGTCTCCATGGGGTTGATGTAGTCTGTGCTTGAGTTTTAAATTGCTAATTCTAGATAACATCCCCTGATGCTTTGCTTAATTAGTCTGTTCTGTCTCTGTATTTTCTATAGAAATCCCTGAATCGGATCCCACTGAGAGCTCACCATCCAGTGAACATGTCAACTTCTCCAGTCTTCAGGGTCTCAGGCGACACCCTACCTTTGTTCCTGCTCCCAGCTCCCAGTTTCAGTGGGCCATCAAATCAATGCGCATTCCCAAACTAGGCCTTCCTAAAAATGTGGGCTATGTGGGTAAAAAACCCACCTGGGAGCCAATGGAAGCTAAAGCAGGACCCATTGAGATGATGACCCTGCCTACCTTCCTTCGACAGGACTACACAGATAATTATTCAGGTGAAGGCAAAGAGCAGGATACAGAGAATGTCAATACTCCAACTGCCAGAAGCGCATCAGGAGAGGAGAAAGTGATAGAGGGTAGTGGAGAAGGGAGCAACGTGGCGGATGGATTTGGAGTGAAAGACAACAATTTGGACAGCAGTGGCATCAAAGTGATTACTGAGTCGAAATCTTCACTCAGCCACAGTGATTTTGCCACTGTGACTGAGCGCACAACTCTGTCCCACTGGCAGCTGGTGGAACAGCCCACCACCCCACCTCAGGTCTCCCAGGAAACAGAGTCAGCAGAGGAGGCTAGGGGCGAGATCTTCTACATTCACAGGCCTACTGACAAGCTCTCATCTACCTCCTCACACAGCGGGGAAGTTAGTTCAAACTCCGGATTCACCCCAGTTTATAGAAAAGACAGTAAAGATACAAGCACTGATAAGGTGATGATTACCGCACATGAGGCTTTGATAGAGATGCTGACAACTTCTGAAATGACGACGGCAGAGCTTCTGGGCAGAGATGCACAGACAGTGGATCCTGCTACCACAGCAGCCACTATAGAAAATAGATCTTATACAGAGGAGCCATCTATTTCCATTTCGTGGGCTCAGGAAGACAAGGAGAAAGCTACAAGTTTCCCCAACATGCAGGGCCTCTCATCGACTCCTGCACCCGAAGGAGCATCCACAACCACTTCTGGAGTCATTCACTTGACTACTGCCGTATCAGACATCAAGGTTGCTGCTACAGAAATGGAATCCAGATCTGCCGTTTCTGAGTCTTTTGTTGTGGGAAGCCATTGGACGCCATTCAAGGGCTTAAAGTCAGAGGAACATAAAACCCCGCCAACAACAGAAGATACTGGTACAAAGAATCCTTTTGGCATTCTTGTACCCAGCTGGGAATTTGGGCTCATCCCATCAGGTAGGTTAGCTTCATGTTGTTCCCAGTGAATTAACTGTCATTATTGTCTTCATCATTGTGATTGTCTAATCAGCAGAGATTTATTTAATTATGTATGCAGATTAGTTGGAGACAAAAGCATCAGTACCCTCCACCTTAAAACTAACTCAGATATAAAACATATGCTCCCAACTTGGTCTGTCTGTCACTTGTTGTTTCATTCTACATCCTGTTTCTGTCTCCTGCTTTGACATATATCATGCATTCTTAATCCAGCCTCGTTTGCCCTTTGTGCCTTCACATTTACTTTCATTCCTTGTCCCACTCTCCCACACTGGTATGGAGACGACTTTAGACAGAGAAGTAGTGCAGTGAAGTGAGACCAGCTAGGTCTTAGTGAAGTAATTAGCAGGTCACAGTGAGTGCAATTAGGTGAGCTGGGAAGAGGCAGAGATCCTAGTCCCCAACAAATCAATGTAGACACAAACTACAAGATGGAACTCGTAATAGACTGTGGTCTCTTCTTCTGTCTCATTTTCTTTTGTGTTCATGTTTATTTGACTCGATCTTCCATTTTTGGCTCAACTATGTTTTCTTATACACTCACAATAATTGCAATGTCTGTGCTCTTTGTCTCACGACAATCACATCGATTTCTTTTGATACTTAATGCACCTGCTACTTGTGGCAGAAAACCTCAAAGTAAATGAACACGGAAAATGCTGCATGCTGTATAAGTCTACTCAGGTCTCTGAAATTTGTCTGGTTTTAACAACCAAAATGTGTTTGCTCAATGTTTAATGAATCTATGTGGAAGGATTGCAATATGTATTGCTCCTTAACTAATGTCTTATATTCATCCTCAGATCTGTGCTTCTAGGTTTTGAAAATGCATTTTTAACATCATGATTTGGATTATGAGTCATCCTGCTCAGTAAAGTGCATTTCTAAAAGTTTTATGTCATCACATGGAGTTGGTGCTGTTGGGAATCACATTGCACGTGGCCCACATACTGTACAGTTTTTTATATAGATAGATAGATAGATAGATAGATAGATAGATAGATAGATAGATAGATAGATAGATAGATTTACACTAACAGTCAAAAGTTTGGACGCACCTTCTTATTTAATGGTTATTCTTTATTTTCATGACTATTTACACTGTAGAGTCTCACTGAAGGCATCAAAACTATGAATGAACACATGGAAAAAAGTGTGAAATAACTCAAGACATGTTTTATATTTTCAAAGTAAGCACCCTTTGCTTTGATTAGTGCTTTGCACACTCTTGGCATTCTCTCAATGAGCTTCATGAGGTTGTCATCTGCAATGGTTTTCCAACAGTCTTGAAGGAGTTCCCACAGATGCTGAGCAGTGGTTGGCTCTTTTGCCTTTCCTCTCATCTCATCTCATCTCATCTCATCTCATCTCATCTCGATTGGGTTTAGGTCTGCTGATTGTGGACCATCAGGCACAGCACTCCATGACTCTCCTATTTGGACAAATAGCCCTTACACAACCTGGAGTTGTGTTTGGGGTCATTGTCCTGTTGGAAAATAAACGATGGTCCAACTAAACACAAACCGGATGGGATGGCATGTCGCTGCAGGATGCTGTGGTTGCCATGTTTGAATAAATCTCCAACAGTGTCACCAGCAAAGCACCCCCACACCATCACACCTCCTCCATGCTTTTCTGCGCCACACAAAGACACAGCGGGTGGAACCAAAGATCTCAAATCTGAACTCATCAAATCAAATCAAATCAAATCA